ATTCCCCACGCCGATGAACTGATCGACCAACTGCGAATAGCACAGGTTTTTTTGAAATTAGATTTTTGGGGAGGTTACCATCAGATTAGGATCGAACCATCAAACTGCGCCAAAACAGCTTTCAGGACTAGGTACGGGTCGTTCGAGTACACTGTGATGCCATTCGGGCTGACCAACGCACCGGCGACTTTTCAGATGACCATGAACGAGGCGTTTAGGCCGGTTTTAGATAAATGCGTGATCGTTTACCTCGACGACATCCTCGTATACAGTCGCGACAAGCAACAACACTTAGCAGATGTGGAAGCAGTATTTAAGATTTTAGACGAGCATCGGCTACTGACAAAGGGTTCCAAGTGCGAGTTCTTTCAGGACAGGTTAGAGTTTTAGGGGCACATTATTTCGGAGGCTGGGATCGAAATTGACCCAAAGAAATTAGACACGGTAAAAGCCTGGCACCCCCCGACAAATCTTACGGAACTGCAGAGTTTCTTAGAGTTTGTAAACTACGTGCGTCGATTCGTCCCCGACATGGCACGGTTGACGGCGCCACTGACAGACTTATTACGGAAGGGGGTCGCTTTTTCGTGGGGGGAGAAAGAGCATGCTGCCTTCTCTGCCCTGAAAACTGTTCTTTGTTCACCGCCCGTCCTGCGCATTGCTGACCCACACCGCCCATTCGAAGTAGTTACTGACGCCAGCGACATCGCCATCGGAGCCGTACTGCTACAAGACTTCGGCAACGGCCTACAACCCATCGCATACGAGTCACGAAAACTGCATGCGCCCGAAAAAAATTACCCGATACACGACCGCGAAATGCTTGCGATCGTGCACGCGTTCAAAGTGTGGCGCTGTTACTTGACCGTCACAGATGGGACAGTACGAACAGACCATAAATCACTACAGTAGCTCCGCGCACAGCCACACCTCAACCCACGACAAATTCGTTGGCTCGACTTCCTCGAGTCAAATTTTCACTACACGGTCACCTACAAAAAGGGAGCCTCGAACATCACCGACGCATTGACCCGCCCCACCGCCCAGATCCACGCAATACTATTCGCCCAGACAAGCCCACTAGTGACAGGCCTATTTACCCACGGGTACCAAACCGACCCATTCTTCACAGGAGGAAATTCGCAGCAGTTCGCAGCAACAAGGGGAGTCTATTACGTAAAAGCCGGGACTGACCGCATTTGGGTGCCTAGGTATACACTGCTACGATAATTACTGTTACAGGTTGCACATGACGGAGTTACCTCGGGGCATTTTGGAGTAGAAAAAACACGGCAGCAGCTGCAGCGGTATTATTACTGGCCGAAAATGTTGACCGACGTACAACGACATGTGGCATCGTGTCCCACTTGTCAGCTTATGAAATCATCAAGGCAGCGGCCGGCAGGACAGTTGCAGGCGATACCACCTCTAGAGCGTGCTTGGCAGCAGGTGACGATGGACTTCGTCACGGGGTTACCGTGTCAGAATCCCAACCACTAGACCATTGGGATAAAATGGCTTGTTTCAGTAGCGGGTCAGTGCGCCCATAACCCCCCAAGCGAACGCGCTTGTAACCCTCTCCAGGATCAATCGGGCATCCACAGTGCAGATCTACTGACACCCCCCCACACTGGGAGGCCCAGGACTAAGCACAGCGGCAACGGCCTACATATGCATACACCGGGAATCGAACCCGAGACTGCTCTGATACCATGTCAGAATCCCAACCACTAGACCATTGGGATAAAAGGGCTTGTTAAGTAGCGGGTCAGTGCGCCCATAACCCCCCAAGCGAACGCGCCTGTAACCCTCTCTAGGATCAATCGGGCATCCACAGTGCAGATCTACTGACATACCGGCCGGGGCGAGTGGGAACGACGCGATTCCTGGTCGTCGTCGATTGATTGACGAAAATGGCACATTTCGCAGCCTGCAAAAAATCAATCACAGCCAAAGAAACAGCACGACTCTTCGTCTCCACCGTCGTTCGATTGCACGGGATACCAGCAGCAATAATCAGCGACCGCGACACGAAATTCACGAGCAACTTCTGGCGGAACCTGTGGCAGCAGTTCGGCACGCGACTACAGTTCAGTTCATCATACCACCCCGAAACCGACGGACAGACAGAACGGACAAATCAGACCATGGAACAGCTCATCAGGGCCACGTGCGACGACCCGGCCACGTGGGAACAGCAACTGCCACTCGTCGAATTCGCGTACAACAACTCGCCATCCGCCACGACCCAACAGTCACCATTTTAGCAGCAGATGCAATAAAAAAATCCAACATCATCGCTAAACGTAACGCCGACCGCCACCGCAGACCTGTCACTTACCAGCCCGACGATCTGGTTTTACTTGACACCCAGAACCTCCGCCTGCCCATCACCCCAAAATTCCGCCTCCGATACTGTGGACCATTTCGCATCAGCCACATGATCACACCCGTCACCGCCCACCTCCTCCTCCCTGCTGACTGGTACGTCAGCCCCTCATTCCACGTCAGCCTGCTTCGCCCTTACGTCCCATTCACGAGCCAACTGCCACGCACTCGCCTAGCCAGCATGACACGACCACCAACTGAACCAATCATCACCCCCGTTAGAATCCTGAGCCACCGAGTTCGTGACCCTCGAGGAGCCCGAAGGATCGAGTTCCTGATCCGCTGGAAAGATCGTACACCCACCGAAGACAATTGGGTTCCCCTGGACAGAATCGAAAACCACCCCGTCCTCACCGAGTATCTGCGCAGCCGAAACTTCAGGGATGTACACGCACTTTCGTAAGGAGGACCTCCTTAGGGGGGGGGGGGGTAGTGTAAGGAAAATTCCTTTTCCTTACTTCGCGTCCCCGCTCAGCGCGTACACCACTGTAGCCCCACAGTCAGCACCGTTACCACTCGCAACTCTCGTATCGACAATCCTCTCGCCACCTTCGCACGTCGCACCCCGACCTCACGGCTCGGCGGGTAACCCGCGCTCCGGGCCTCCGCTTCGACACTTTTCCCAACCTCAGTCCCAGGCCCGTCACGCGACAACCACAGCCCATTACCGTTACCACTGTAGTTTCGCTATATATTCTTCGCTCATGCCTTCGCTCATTGTATTCTTGCTTAGATAGTGCAATTCTAGTTCGTTCACTCAATTGCACTCGTAACAATTGGTATTCAGAGGCTACGTAAGAGTGTCAAACATAAAACGGTCCCCCCAATTCCACGAAGGACTTTGCCAGTGGGCGACACGGAATTTCTTCTCCAACTCCCACAAAGCAAGTGCGTCGGCGGAAGACGAATATCCTCGGAGCGCTACGAAAGCCTTCAGTTTCCCCGCACCCGCGCAACCACCCATCCATTTACCTTCCTTCCCCCCTCCTATTGGCCCGTCTTCCCTCCATCCTGAGACAGCTTCTCGGGATATCCCCTCCTCCCCTCTCCCGCCAGTCAAATCCTACCGCTCTCTCTTTTCTAGCAACCGTTTGCAGACGTTTTAGCTGCCCATTCGGCGACCCACCGTTAATTCTCGAGCACGCCACTCCAGCCTTCATGTCCCTCTAGTTTCTTGGAGTAAAGTTCGACAGAAGAAACTGTGGCAGATTCTGCTCCAGCGGCAACCGTTCCGTTTGGTCCCCCTCGCAGATGGTCTTTGAGAAGACGACGATACACTAACCGGCCGACTGTGTTTGCGCCTGCATTTTTTTCCGTCTGGCCACGACCCACAGCCCTTCCGGCCACAGCTTTTCCGCCTACAGTTCTTCCGCAAACAGTTCATGTGTCAACAATTCTGATGTTTCCCTGAACCGAACAGTCTCTCCACCTCACAAATTGGACTTTCAGAAACGGTCACAAGTCGTTTCCTTCGTTTGGACATCCTCCATGATCCAGAGTTCACCCTGTTAGATTCTCGAGTATCTACACACTGAGGGCGCGTAACCATTTTGCACCCGACGGCTCGAACCGTGGACCGTCCGAGTGGCGAAATTCGCACAATGTCGTAAGTAGGTTCGCTAAGGTGTTGGCGACATCGCCAACAAAACGAACTGTAGTGACACTTTTTCCCACTTTTCAAAGGTCCGAAATCTGAACCGTGGACAGTCCGAATCCCAAACGGACTGTCCGACAGTCCTTGCACACGATTGGAGGACGACGTAAAAGTTGTCGACTCACCTCGTCCACCAACAAATACGTACGAGGCTACTTTACGAATCGACATTGACCAACCAGAGACAACCCATAAACAGAAATGATTCGATAACGACATATGTGAGTGAGAGCGTAATGCGTAACGCTTGTACAGTGATCACGAAACTGTACATTAGGGAAAAAGTGTCACAACTGTCTTCGGACAGTCCGAAGCTGCAAAAAAATCAATCGGACGGTCCTGTTTTCGATAAGTGGGTCGTCCAATTCGTTTTAAGCGGACTGTCCGTCAAAATCATAAAATGCAAAATGGTTACGCGCCCTAGTGCTCTGATTCCTCTTCGCGTCCAACAGAATAGCCGTGTCCTTGTATATTTTAGGTGAACTCAACTTTACCGTACACTGTGCAGTGAGCACTATCACTAACGTTAACCTCGCATCATCGCACTGACACTGGGAGGATTGAAAAGCGCCTGCTCTTGTTGAGTCACGAAATCGAGGGCACTGGAGTGGAGGACTTGAGATGTGCTCCCGAATAATGAAACGGCTGGCTTCATCTTTTCATTTTCCCGTCAATGTCGGAAACCGAGATTGACCTCGCACAATCTAGGTCAGAAAGGTTCTAGAAAAAGTTATCGTAGAGTTTTCGTTGACCTTGTACATTTGCGTTCGTAGACAAAAAATAGGACCAGCGGTGCACGCACTGTTCAGCTCAGTTCCCAGGCATTGTCTGGGTCAGAAAGGAGCTTGCGCGTTCCGTATTTATTTATTGATACGGCGACTATAGACGCTAGGCCACGAACACTACTATTAAATTACTGCGCGAGCGCTAGGTTAGGAACCAGTAGGGAACCAGCAGCATGGGCTCGTGCTTGTCGAAGAGCAAGGAGCGGCCGCGTGATGCGTCCAAAGCACCGCCAGCCGGTGCCGACGCAACTCAGACGGCTCCGGCTGCCGTGCACGCGAAGCCGGCAAGTACAGACGGAGTGAAAGCTGCCGGGCCGTCAAGTCCAGGGAAAGGTGGAAATGAGGGTTCAGATGGGGTGGGAGGAGCGGGAGGCGCGGAAGCGGCAGGAACAGCAGGGGGAGCAGCAGAAGGAGCAGGGGCAGCCGCAGGATCAGATGCAAATGCGAGTAGACCAACAGGAACATCAGCGGGGAAAGAAGCGGAAAATAACGCGGGTGCTGCTGCCGCAGTCGACGGAGCCGCGTTACAATTTGCCAAGTACGACAAGAACGACACGACCATCCCGTTAGGGTTGCGAACGGACTTCGGCTATAAACGAGACTTTGAGGCGCACTATAAGCTGGGCAGAGAGCTGGGTCACGGACAATTCGGCACGACGTACGAGTCGATTCAGCTAGCCACCGGCGAGCGGGTGGCAGCGAAAGCGATTGAGAAGAAGCAGGTGCGTTTTAAGCAGGCGTATAATAAAACAGGTGAGTGTAACAAGGCAGGCGTATAATGAGGCAAGCGGTAGAGCGAGAGTGAAAGAAGCAAGTTGGGTCACGGGCAATTCGGCACGACGTACGAGTCGATTCAACTAGCCACGGGCGAGCGAGTGGCAGCGAAAGCGATTGAGAAGAAGCAGGTTGTGTATAACGAAGCAGGTGCGTGTAACGAAGCAGGCGTATAATGAAGCAGGTGAGTGTAATGAGGCAGGCGTATAATGAAGCGATTCGGCACGACGTACGAGTCGATTCAACTAGCCACAGGCGAGCGGGTGGCAGCGAAAGCGATCGAGAACAAGGAAGTGCGTATAATGAAACAGGTGCGTGTAACGAAGAAGGCGTACAATGAAGCAGGTGCTTGTAACGAAGCAGTTGCGCAGAGCGAGAGTGAAAGGAGCAAGCTGGGTCAATTCAACATTTACCGGCGCGCCATTGGCAGGTGCGTATTCAAAGGAGGTGCTAATAACGAATCATGACGCGAGTGGCATGTGTTTCGACATGTCTCAAAACGACAAAAACAATTAGAGATTAGTAGCATATCGACATGTAACGTCTTTTCCCCCCATAACTCTCCCACCACTCATTCTCTCCACCACACCCATAGATGAAGCTGCCTATAGCAGCGGCGGACGTGCGGAGGGAGGTGGCGATAATGAAGCTGCGGTTTCAACACAGTTCTCAAATCCCACTACTCTCTCCGGTCCCCTTCTCCCCCCCCCCCCGTTTCCCCCCCATCCCATTCCCCCCTCTCCCCAACCACCGTCTCCCTGCCCACAGATGAAGCTGCCTATAGCAGTGGAGGACGTGCGGAGGGAGGTGGCGATAATGAAGCTGCTGTCGGGCCATCCCAACGTGGTGCAGTTCATTGACGTGTTTGAGGACACCGACTTTGTGTACATCTGCATGGAGTGAGTGCAGTGCATTAGCTGGTACGGAGTGACACTATAGCGGGTATGGTAGTGAGGTGGCGATAATGAAGCTGTCAGGCCATCCCACCGTGGTGCAGTTCATTGACGTGTTTGAGGACACCGACTTTGTCTACGTCTGCATGGAGTGAGTGCTTATAGCGGGTATGGAGTGTACTGAGGTGGCGATAATGAAGCTGCTGTCGGGCCATCCCAACGTGGTGCGTTTATCGATGTTTTCGAGGACACCGACTTTGTGTACATCTGCATGGAGTAGACTATAGCGGGTATGGAGTGTAATGAGGTGCAGTTTTGTTAATGTGTTTCAGAACAGCGACTTCGTGTATGTCTGTCTGCATGGAGTGAGTGCATTGTGGCGGATATGACGCATCCTCTCACGTCATTCCCACCGCCCTCCCTTCTTTCCTCCTCTTTCTCCCCCCACCCTCTCTCTTTTACATTTGATTGCTCCCCTTTCCTCCCTTCTCCGGCCCCTCCTGACTGCTCTTCTCCTCTTCTCCCATCCTCTCCCCCCATCCGCTCACTCTCCCCTCCCTTCCTCCATGGCAGAATCTGTGAGGGTGGCGAACTCCTTGACCGAATCCTTAGCAAGTAAGCTTGTAGAACAGAAAAAACTAAGGATATGGAAATTAAGTTAGTGAGAAGTAAACTCAAAAGGGGACTGGAAACGAAGGAAGCACGGCGCGGACGCCGGGGCGGAATGTGAGACAACCAAGGGGAGGGAAGGGCGATGATAGCGGGATGGAGTGGGAATGGGGGGATCAGGGAGTGTGGGTTGGGGGGGCATGGGGGGAGGAATGGAAGTCAGCTGTATTATCCGAAGCATGCATAATGAGCCGTTATGGTTGATTGTGGCATGCTATCTCCTTCACCCTGTCGCTTCCCCTCGCCCGCTCCACCCCCCTCGCCCTCACCCTCACCATCCCCATCCCCATCCCCATCCCCATCCCCATCCCCCTCGACCCTCCCACTCCCCATCCACACCCCTCTCCCCCTCGCCCTCCCCCTCCCCTTGCCCCCCTCCTCCCTCCCCGACCCCCCCTTTTTGTACTTGTATGTGTTTTCTTTCCTTCAAATGCGAGCAGGCGGGAGAACCGGTATTCAGAGAAGGATGCAGCAGGGGTGGTGCGGCAGATGCTGAGCGTGGTGGCCAAGTGCCATCTGCACGGGGTCGTGCACCGCGACTTAAAGCCCGAGGTGAGAGAGGGACGGGCATGAAAGGGAGAGAAGGAGGGTATGGACGGGTTTGAATCCAGAGAGGCATGAGACGCATACCACCGGATGCCGAGGACTCAAAAATGGCCAAGTGCCACCTGCATGGGGTCGTGCATCATTACTTGAAGTCCGAGGTGAGAGAGAGAGAGGTACAAGGCGAGGCAAGGGGAGGGACGGGCGTGAAGAAAGAGGGACGTAGGGCGCACAACACAATGTCGCTGAGTGGCATGGCCAAGTGCCACCAAACGCACAGCGTCATTCACCTCCCTGCCTTTTTCCCCCTCCTCCCTTACTCCCCCACCCTTTCCCCCTTCCCCCTCTACCCCTACTCTTCCCGAATATCCTCCACCCCTCTCCCTTCCGCCCGTCTCCCACCTCACTCTTCAGAACTTTCTCTTCAAGTCCAAGGCAGAGGACGCGCTCCTTAAAGCCACCGACTTTGGCCTCTCGGATTTCAGAAAACCCGGTGAGTGCTGCACGTGGGTATGGCAATGCCGGGTGTGTGAGTGCTATTGGCGCATGTGTTCCTTTCTCACAACTCTCCCATCTCCTCTCCCCTCGTCTTCTTCTCCCTCCACGCAAGCACTTTACAGACCCCCACAACCCCCTTTATCTCTCCTCTTTTTCCCTCCCCAGGCAAGCACTTCACAGACGTGGTGGGAAGCGCCTACTACGTCGCACCTGAGGTGCTCAAGCGGCGGTCGGGGCCGGAGAGTGACGTGTGGAGCATCGGGGTTATCACGTACATTCTGCTGTCAGGGAGGCGGCCATTCTGGGATAGAACGGAGGCGGGGATATTCAACGAGGTGAGAGAGGTGGAGAGCGGTGAGGGCTGGTGGAGAGGGGTGAGGGGGATAAAGGAGCTTAAAACCCGCGGGCCAAGAAGTTCAACCTTAGGAAGGTTGGTTGGGGCGAGCAATGCAATTGGCCAAGATTTTGGGTGCCCGGGCCAAACTCAACCGAAGTTAGGAAGGTTGAACCAATGTAGGCCTTCTTGGCCCTCCGGTTTTAAAGCGGCGGTCGGGGCCCGAGAGTGACGTGTGGAGCATCGGGGTCATCACGTACATTCTGCTGTCAGGGAGGCGACCCTTCTGGGATAGAACGGAGGCGGGGATCTTCAATGAGGTGAGGAGGGGAAAGACTTGGGGGGGTGAATGGGAGAGAGTGATGGAGGAGAATGGGGGAGAGTGGTGGGGAGGAATAGGTGGTAGGAGGTGAGAGAGGGAGAGTGACATGTGGAGAATCGGGGTCATCACGTACATTCTGCTGTCGGGAAGACGGCCTTCTGGGATAGAACGGAGGCGGAGATCTTCAATGAGGTGAGATGAAAGGGAAAGAGCTACAGTGGTGGGAGGGGGTTAAGAGAGAGGGAGAGTGACATGTGGAGCATCGGCGTAATCACGTGCATTCTGCTGTCGGGAAGGCGGCCTTCTGGGATAGAACTCAGGCATGGATATTCAATCAGGTGGTGAAGAAGCAGCTTGACTTCAGGGAGAAGCCATGGCCGCACGCGTCATCCAGTGCCAAGGACTTTGTCCCCGTCACCATGCCTTCCCCTCTCCCCACCACCACTCATCACCACTCATCACAACTCAATACCGCTCCTCACCGTCTCCTAACCGTTCCTTACCGCTCATAACCACCCTTCAGGTGCTGAAGAAGCGGCCTGACTTCAGGGAGAAGCCATGGCCTAATGTGTCGTCCAGCGCCAAGGACTTTGTGAAGAAGCTTCTCAAGAAGGACCCCCGCGCCCGACCCACTGCCGCCCAGGCCTTGTGTGAGTGAGCGCATCCTGTACCAAGTGTGCTTGGTGTGAGGTGAGTGCACTAACCCGCACTGCCAGCGCCAAGGCCTTTGTCAAGAAGCTTCTCAAAAAGGACCCCCGCGCCCGACCCACTGCCGCCCAGGCCTTGTGTGAGTCAACGCGCTGTCTGCAAAGTGTGCTTTGTTGCGTGTGAGTTAGCGCATGTGCATCCTTGGGGTGGGGGGACAGAGCACTATCCTGACTACCACCGCCATGCGATTGTAAAGAAGCTTCTCAAGAAGGACCCCCGCTCCTGACCCACTGCCGCACAAGCCTTGTGTGAGTGAACGTGCTGCCTGCTAGATGTGCTGTGTGTGTGTGACTGCATGACCTACTGCCGCCCAAGCATTGTGTGAGTGCCCCAAGCGTTGTGTGAGTGCCCCAAGCGTTGTGTGAGTGCCCCAAGCGTTGTGTGAGTGCCCCACTGCCGCCCAAGCCTTGTATGAGTGCCCCACTGCCGCCCAAGCCTTGTATGAGTGCCCCACTGCCGCCCAAGCCTTGTGTGAGTGCCCCACTGCTGCCCAAGCCTTGTATGAGTGCCCCACTGCCGCCCAAGCCTTGTATGAGTGCCCCACTGCCGCCCAAGCCTTGTATGAGTGCCCCACTGCCGCCCAAGCCTTGTGTGAGTGCCCCACTGCTGCCCAAGCCTTGTATGAGTGCCCCACTGCCGCCCAAGCCTTGTATGAGTGCCCCACTGCCGCCCAAGCCTTGTGTGAGTGCCCCACTGCTGCCCAAGCCTCGTGGGTGAAGGAGGTAGGCGACATGTCGTCTCATCAGAGCCTCTAGACATTGCGTTGCACAGAGGACCATGCTTTCAAACAGCCCTACACTTTCAGATTAGTAGACTTAGTACTACAGATCGTTACTCTTAGCAGGCTTGCTGCGTTTCGAATCCAACAGATTCCGACCATGCTTTCAAACAGCCCGTGACGGCCTCCCCACTCTCCTGGCCACTTACAATCCTCCCACACCCCCCCACCTTTCAGCACACAAGTGGGTGAAGGAGGGGGGCGATGCTTCGTCAGTCCCGCTGGACATAGCAGTGCTGTCCAACATGCGCGAGTTCGTCAAGTACTCGCGCCTCAAGCAGATGGCGCTCAAGGTGAGATGGGGGATGTCTGTGTGTGTAGCTGATGGGCAGTGCCACACGGCTGGTCTCTCTGGTTCATTGAGCCATCACTCAGACGTCACAGAGTGCTCTCCAACATGCGGGAGATCGTCAAGTACTCGCGCCTCAAGCAGATGGCGCTCAAGGTGAGAGGGGGCACGCACACAGGCAAGCACACAAAAGCAGGCACACATGCAAGCACGCACACCGTCAGGCAGGTGTGGTGTTGAAGGTGAGAGGGATCATCCCCCATGTCCCGCTGGACATAGCAGTGCTGTCCAACATGCGCGAGTTCGTCAAGTACTCTCGCCTCAAGCAGATGGCGCTCAAGGTATGAGCGCGGGCACGCACGCTCGTAGGTACGCAGGCAGGCGGGCAGGCAGGCAGGTGAAGAGGGGGCAGGCAGGCAGGCAGGCAGGCGAAGAGGGGGCAGGCAGGCAGGCAGGCAGGTGAAGAGGGGGCAGGCAGGCAGGCAGGCAGGTGAAGAGGGGGCAGGCAGGCAGGCAGGCAGGTGAAGAGGGGGCATGCAGGCAGGCAGGCAGGTGAAGAGGGGGCAGGCAGGCAGGCAGGTGAAGAGGGGGCAGGCAGAAGTGCAGGATTTGAAGGACCATCTCAACTCAGTCAGTTGGTCCACTTGAGCAGCAATGGACTTTTCTGCCCTGCTCAATCCCCGGCTTCTTCCTTCCTGCTCGCCATCCCCGCCACCCAACACACCCTCGCCCACGCTCTCCCTTCTCTGCCTTCCCACAGGCCCTTGCGACAACACTGGAGGAGAATGAGGTGCAGGCGTTGAGGGATCAGTTCAACGCGATGGACATTAACAAGGATGGTACCATCACGATTGATGAGATCAGACAGGTGAGGGGGGCGATGGGGAGAGGGAATGGAAGGTGGGAGGTTAAGGAGAGAGGGGAGAAACGGGGACCAGGGGGTCAGATGAAAGGAAGAAGCTGAGATGGCAGGCGCTGAGGCACCATTTCAATGCGATGGATATCAACAAGGATGGCACCATCACGATCGATGAGATCAGACAGGTGAGGGGGGGGAGGAGGGATGGAGGGAGATGAGGGATGGGAACGAGGGATGAGGAGAAGTGAGTGGAGAGTGGGTGGGTGGGTTTAGGGCTGGGGTGGGCTAAAAGGTGTGTTTTGAGGCGCCTCAAAACACACCTCAATGCACGCGGTTTAGGGCTGGGGTGGGCCAAGGGCTGGAGGTGCAGGCATTGAGAGACCAGTTCAATGCGATGGACATTAACAAGGATGGCACCATCACGGTCGATGAGATCAGACAGGTGAGGGGGTAGGGAGGAGGAAAATGGGGGAATCGTGAGAGGGGGGAAGACTAGCGAGATGGGAGTGATTTTTGAGAATTCTCAGGAATCGTGAGAGGGGGGAAGACCAGCGAGATTTAAATGCTATTCTGGTCTCTTCTCTTCCCTTCCTCTGTTTCCCTCGTTCCCCCCCCCCCCCCCCCCCCCCCTCTTTTCGTTGTCATACATCGAGTCACAGCCCCCACCATTTGAAGTGAAGGAGTCAACCTCCTGTATCTCTCCCCCCCCTCTCCTCTTCACAGATCCCAGCCCCTCCCCTTTCTCTCCCTACCCTCTTTTTCCCTCCCCCTTCTCTCCCTCCCCTCTTCCTCCCCTTCTCCCCGTCCCCACTTTACCCCTTCTTTCCCTCCCCTCTTTCTCTCTCCCCTTTCTCTCCCTTCTCTTCCGTTCCCTCTTTCTATTTATCACCTTCATCAGGCACTGCGTGTAGTGAGCCGATTTTTGAGTCGACTCAAAATTCCCTCTTTCTATTTATCCCCTTCATCAGGCCCTTTGTCTTTTCCCCCCTTCCCTCCTCTCTTTCCTTCTCTCTTTTCTTGCCCCTCCCCATCTCAGGCACTAAGTCACGACCTGCCATTTGAAGTGAAGGAGTCGAGAGTGCTGCAGATCCTCCAAGCGGTGAGCACCCCTAGTGTGATAGATGATAAAAGCCTAGCCTCTCAAAGCCAATGCGTTCCGTGGTTTGAGGCATGAGACACCTCAGAAGGAGTCTTCCGTGCTGCAAATTCTCCAAGCGAGGGCTTACTGCATTCCCTCAGACCCCGTTTGGAGAACACCCGGATTTGGGACTCCCTTTTTGAGACGCCCCAGTGCCTCTGTCGTTGCGTGGCCTTGCGAATCCTCCAACCATCCCTGCCCCCCGTTTCCCCCCTCAGATGGACACCAACTGCGATGGGATTATTGATTTCAACGAGTTCGTGGCAGCAACGCTGCACGTGCACAGCAGCTAGAGGAGGCCGAATCCACCAAGTGGCAGGAGCATCCCATAAGCCTCATTTCTTCCCCCTCTCCATCCACCCTGCCCCCAGATGGACACCAACTGTGATGGGATTATTGACTTTGATGAATTTGTGGCAGCAACGCTGCACGTGCAGCAGCTGGAGGAGGCCGACTCCACCAAGTGGCAGGAGCGCTCGCGAGCCGCATTCGCCCAGTTTGACCGCGACAACGACGGGTACATCGATGCGGAGGAGCTGAGGATGGTAAGTAAGGGGTTGTGTGCGGTACAGGTAGGTTCCATCTTATCTCAGGAGGCCGACTCCACCAAGTGGCAGGAGCGCTCGCGAGCGGCTTTTGCCAAGTTTGACCGCGACAACGATGGTTACATCGACGCTGAGGAGTTTCGCATGGTGAGGATGTGTTGAGTGCGGTACAGTTAGGTCTCATCCTGGTTGTCAGCAGCCTTTCAGTTTGACCGCGCAACGACGGGTACATTGATGCTGAGGAGCTGCGCATGGTGAGAGACTGCCGACTTGTTAACGGGTATTCAAGTCCAACGGCAACGGCTCAACGGCTGACATTTTAGTGCTGACCCCGACAACGGCAGGTACACGATGCAGAGGAGCTACGAGTGATAAGTGGCTTACAAGTAACTGTATTAAGTCTCAGTGCTTCACACATTCTTCCCCCCCCGGCCTGCTCCTGCCTCTCCATTGCACTGGTAGGGGCTAAGCTTTCCCCAGTTCATGTTAACAAATGCAAGCACATCTGTGTTTCTCCTTTCCCATATTTTACCACCTTGTCAATACACCAGGCTGCCCAAGTTAATTTTCCGTTGGATAACCTGATAGCAGAAGCCGACACGGACGGGGATGGCAGAATCAGCCTGCCCGAGTTCCAGAAGCTTCTAAGATGTGCAAGCATCAATTCCCGCACCAACACATCTCGCTCCCGGGGTCGATCATGGCTTGGCCAAACCATTGACGAGTGATAAGCTGTTGGGCAAGGAACTTCACATCAGATATGGATTGCTGTCAGGGCAGGATGTGTTGCCGACGCATGAACTAATCTTGCTACAGGTCCATATACCTAGAAGACTAACACTTATGGTTTGTGTTAGGTCAGTAGAAGTTAATCTCTTTAGCTTATGACGGAATTACCTAGAGTACCTGTTTAGGTATATGGGGCTTCTCTTGGGCCGACACTTTTTCTTACGGAGGTTGGGATTTTTTCCCCCACTTGTCCAGAAGTCTGGGTCACGTTCGAGAAAGATTCGATTGGCTAGAAACTAGGCTCGTTCTGCTGATTGGCAGTTGGGATTCAAACGGAACTATTTTAGCTGACCGGGCATCTGATTGATGTTCCAGTTGCAGGCATGGGATTTACCCTACACAAAATGCACTCAGCGATTGAACTGGCACTTCAACCTTGTTACCATCAATCTTGTCGCGAAGGCTAATCCGCACTGGACGAAGCGCAAATTATTTCGCCAACTCTTTTCGTGAATGTACCTGATCACCAACACCTGCGCTTTTGTTTTGTACGTCCCGTACGATTCCTTTTCTCCCCCCTAAGGTTTTCTGGAGCTAAAATGTTTCCGCCATGGCTGCCGACCTATTAGGTTCTGCCACATCCCATCCACAAGTCTTTGTTTTGTGATTCCTGATGCCCTAGAAACCCGAATTTTGCGCTTCATCTGGCAGCCATGGCTGCCACGCGGCGCGTCGTGAACTCGACTTCCGAAATCCATGGACTCCAGTAATGTCGCATTAGCGCGATTCACTGGTTACACTACCACGCACGCCATTCGCGAGGACCGGGTACTGCGAATCACGTTTTCATCCGTTCCTGATGCACGAATAGTGCCGTGGATTCGTATGTCATCCCAGCTGCTACGAAGTTAGTATCAGGAGAACCATTCATGGCCGTCAAGTTCTGAGACGTCTGATCAGTCGGCACCATCCCCCTCCATTTCATTTTACTTAATTCCTCTCGTTCTCTCTCCTCGTTAGACAGGTAGCAGCGAAAGCGAGAGAGAGTCTCACAGGACCAGCAGCCGTTGCCATGGCTGCGTCAGTGTCTCGTTCCGCCAGCGCCGCGCCGTTGATTTGGTCAGCAGCGAGAATGTTCAAGCCTAAAGCACGGACACGATTCTCGCACACGTCGCACGCGTCGCACGCGCCCCTCGTGTGCTCTCGCAGCAGCAGCAGCAGCACCGTCGCGGCGTGTCGAATCAGCAAGTCGCATCGATTCGCGGTCCCCTCTCAAGCCTCTCACCAGCACCTCCGCTCCACGGGAATCAGACTTTTCTCCTCGCTGCCCGTTCGAACACCGGGCAGGCTCCGCGCGACTTTCTCCTACCCGTTTTCGAGAAATCATAAAAACACCTCCCTGCCAGCTCCAAGGTTGTTGGTTCCCCACCAAAAGCAGGAGCTCTCAGGGATTCGCAGCTGCACCGAAACGTCGGGCTTGCTTATAACGGGGACGCCTGTACCGGGCGCGAGGGCCGGCGCGCGCAGGCGTGCTAATATCCGATGTCACAGTAGCGCAGGCGCTGGTGGTGCAGATGGCGTTCGCGCTGGGGATTTGGTGACTAATGCGGGGGAGGGAGAGACGAAGGCGAGAGGGATTGGTCATGGGCATGAGGAGAGGCCGGATGATCATGGGCATGGGCACGGCCATGAAAATGGGCATGGGCATACGAGCCATGCACATGCTCAGAGTGCTGTTGCCATTGATACGCACAATCATGAGCATGAGGAGGATCACCATGACCATAAGCACCATCATGAGCATCAGGAGGATCACCATGACCATAAGCACCATCGTGAGCATCAGGATCAGCACACGGAGAATTATGATCATGATCATGAGCATCATGGCCATGCACATAGCCATGCCCACGACCGTAGCAACCATGCGCATCATGAGGATCATGAGCATCATGAGCACACGCACTCACATGCACCCGAAGCACATGCGTCCCATCATAAACACCATCATCAAGGCGAGCAGCAACCCCATGCCCATGACCATGCCCATGACCATGACCATGACCATGACCATGACCATGCCCATGCCCATGCCCATGCCCATGCCGATAACAACCACAGCCATAACAACCATGCCCATGCCCACCATGCGCATGACCATGCACACAGCCATAACGACACCCATGACCATGCCCACAACCACAGTCATGCCCATACCCACTCCCATGACCATGACCATGACCATGCACATGCGCATGCGCATGACCACAGTCATGCCCATGCCCACTCCCACGACCATTCCCACAGCCACGGCCACCACCATCACCACCACCACTGCTGCCCATCGCCCACCACCCTCAACGCAGCCCAGCGCGCCCTCCTCTCGCTCTTCTCCTTCCTCCGCCTCGCCCCTCTGGCCGACCGCATGAGGGAGAGCGCGCCCCTCGCCTCTCTCTCCCTCGCGCTCTGCCTTGCTGCCTACGCTGTGCCGCTGCTTGTGCCGCTCGTTGTCCAGATGCAATCCCAGCCGTTGGTGGTGCAGATGCTGCAGACGGGGCTTGTTGCTGCAGCTTTCCCTCTCACTGCTGTAAGCTGCTCTCTGTACCTTTAATCTCCTCCCACAATTCTACAATTCTGCAATCACAATCTCACTCTCCTGGTAAATGGTTTTGCGCTCTCTCTCACTTCTGCAAGCGCACGTCTCTCTTATCTCCCAATGTCTCGTGTATGAAGATTTATTTTGAGACGTCTCAAAATAAGTCTTCTGCAAGCGCACGTGTCTCTTATCTCCCAGTGTCTCTCTCTTGGTGAATGCACTGTGCAATGCACAGACCTTTCTCCCACCGTCCCACTACCTTTGTGAATTAACAACGTATTAACCGCATCTCACCCTTCTCCACCCACCTCAGATCCCAGCAACCATGGATGCATTACTGGACATAGCAGGCGGGTCGGTGAACATCCAGTGCTCAGGACTGTTGCAGCACTGGCGTCACGTGCTCTGCTGTTTCTGGTCTCAGCTGCTCTCTTTTTCCTCCCTTCGCTTTCCACCCTCCGTCCCAGATCCCAGCAACCATGGATGCATTGGTGGACATAGCAGGCGGGTCAGTGAACATCCATGTGCTCATGACCGTGGCAGCACTGTCGGCATGTGCGCTGCTTTTCCTGGTTTCAGCTGCTTCCCGTTTCCTCCCAATCCCCACGCCACCAGATCCCAGCAACCATGGATGCGCTAGTGGACATAGCAGGCGGGTCAGTGAACATCCATGTGCTCATGACTGACGCGGCTTTGGCATCAGTGGCCATGGGGAATGCAGACACGCCATTTCCACCCCCCTGGGTCAATGAACTATAAATCTTGTAACCCCTCTCCACCACCCCAGATCCCAGCAACCATGGATGCATTGGTGGATATCGCAGGAGGGTCGGTGAACACCCACGTGCTCATGACCGTGGCAGCACTGTCGGCATGTGGGCTGCTTTTCCTGGTTTCAGCTGCTTCCCGTTTCCTCCCAATCCCCACGCGACCAGATCCCAGCAACCATGGATGCACTAGTGGACATAGCAGGCGGGGCAGTGAACATACATGTGCTCATGACCGTTCCCCACCCACAGCCACACTTTCTGCATGAATGAACACACTCTCTCTTCTCCCTCTCCACACTTTCCTTCCCTACCAGATCCCAGCAACCATGGATGCATTGGTGGATATAGCAGGCGGGGCAGTGAACATCCACGTGCTCATGACCGTTGCAGCATTGGCATCAGCGGCCATGGGGAATGCACTCGAGGGCACTCTGCTGCTCGCTATGTTCTCCATCTCCCATATAGGTGCGCTTCGATACCCCACATAGGTGTGCCTCGTCTACCCATATAGGTGTGCCGTACAGGTGCGCCTCCATTGCCCATACAGGGGGGCCGGGGTGAACAGCAGCGGAGCACCTATATGGGAGATGGAGACCATGGCGTCAGCGGTCACGGGGAATACACTCGAGGGTACTTTTGAGTCGACTCAAAAGTCAACTCATTGCCCATACAGGGGGTCCGGGGTGAACAGCAGCGCTGGCGTCAGTGGCCATGGGGAATACACTCGAAGGCACTCTGCTGCTCGCCATGGTCTCCATCTCCCATATAGGTGCGCTGCCATCTCCCATCCCCCTTCCTCGTTCTGCTTCTAGAATTAGTGCAAAAACGTTACCACCTGATTTTGCCTCGACTCAAAACTTACCACCCTTACCACAAGCTCGTAACGATCCTCCACCACAGCAAAGATGTGAGGGTTGGGCAAGCCAGCACGTAACCACAAGCCAGCACGTAACCACAAGCCAGCGCGTAACCACAAGCCCGCCCGCCCGTCCAACCCTCACATCTACTCACCCATCCACCAGCGGAGCATTATTCCACAGAGAAGGCTGTCTTCGACCTTCGCTCCCTGCAGGACAACAACCCCTCCCCTGCTCTCCTCATCCACCCCTCCCCCTTCCCTTCCGTTACCCCTCCCCCGCCCCCCCTTCGTCCCCACTTCTACCCATCCACCAGCGGAGCATTATTTCACGGAGAAGGCACTGGGCGACCTGCGCTCCCTGCAGGACAACAACCCTTCCACTGCTCTGCTCATCAATCCATCGTGCCTCTTCCCTTACCATGACCAATCCTCTTTTCCACCCACCCACCAGCGGAGCATTATTTCACCGAAAAGGCTCTGGGCGACCTGCGCTCCCTGCAGGACAACAACCCTTCCACTGCTCTGCTCATCGATCCCTCGTGCCTCTCTTCTGTCGGTGCTTCTACTGCTGCTGCTGCTTCTGAAAACGGTGCCAGTGGCGGCAGCAACAGCAGCATCAGCAACGGCAGCAGCAACGGCAGCAGCAGCAGCAGCAGCAGCAGCAGCAGCAGCAGCAGCAGCAGCGGCGGCGGCGACGGTGGGAGCGAAAGGAGAGAAGGCGGGGTGGTGTTTCCGGGTCTGGCTGCCCTCTCCTGGTCCGAAGTGCCTGTAGCAGATGTGCCGGTGGGGGCTATGGTGCTGGTCAAAGCGGGCGAGGTGAGTGCTACGGGTGAAAGAGGTGAAAGGGAGACAGACTAGTGCATGTGTCTATGTGCCTCAGAACGATTTGACTGCTCGTTCATGGTCCAAAGTGCCGTTAGCAGATGTGCCTGTGGGAAATATGGTGCTGTTCAAAGCAGGAGAGGTGAGTGAGTGCTGCCCTACCGTCTACAGGGACGACTTGGGGACTCCGTTCTAACCCAACAACAACCAACCCCTCCCCTCCTCCTCCTCCTCCTCCTGCTGCTGCCCTAAGTTTCCCTTTATCTCCCCTCCCCCTCTCAGGTGGTCCCTCTAGACGGCACCGTTCGCTTCGGCCGCTCCCTCGTCACCGCAGAGCACCTCATGGGGTGATATGCACGAAGCACCCCACTAGAAGGCCATTGCTCCCCCTCTCCTCGTCTCTTCTCCCCCATCTCATTCCTCCACCCATCAGGTGGTCCCTCTAGACGGCACCGTCCGCTTCGGCCGCTCCCTCGTCACCACAGAACACCTCACCGGCGAAGCCCACCCTGTCGAGAAGCTTCCCGGAAACACCCTCCCGGGCGGCTCGCGCACCGTCGACGGCTTCCTCGTCGTGGAAACTTCCCGGAAATGGTCCGAGTCCACCGTGGCTCGCATAATGCAGCTCACAGAGCAAGCCAGGTCCCAAAAACCGCCTCTCCAACGCTGGCTGGATAAATTCTCCGAGAAATACAGTCAAGCCGTGGTGGGATTGTCGGTGGGAGTGGCTGTGCTAGGCCCTCTGTTGTTCGGATGGCCGTTGCTCAGCTCGCCAGGGGTGCGGGGGTCACTGTATCGGGCACTGGCAGTGATGGTGGCGGCGTCGCCCTGTGCCCTCGCTGTTGCTCCGCTCGCCTACTTCTGTGCTCTCACTGCCTGTGCAGCCAAGGTGAGTTCCTAGAAACACTCCGGGGATTTTTTTAGAATTCTAAAAAATACCTTGTCGGCGGGACTGGCTGTGCTAGGCCCGGTGCTGTTCGGCTGGCCGTTTTTGAGCTCGCCAGGGGTGAGGGGGTCACTGTACCGGGCACAGGCAGACTGGCAGTGATGGTGGCGGCGTCCCCCTGTGCTCTAGCTGTTGCTCCCCTCGCCTACTTGTGTGCTTTGACGGCATGTGCGCGCAAGGTGAGACGCCTCTGCGCTCATGATCTCTGGTGAGACGCCTCTGCGCTCATGATCTCTGGTGAGACGCCTCTGCGCTCATGATCTCTGGTGAGACGCCTCTGCGCTCATGATCTCTGGTGAGACGCCTCTGCGCTCATGATCTCTGGTGAGACGCCTCTGCGCTCATGATCTCTGGTGAGACGCCTCTGCGCTCATGATCTCTGGTGAGACGCCTCTGCGCTCATGATCTCTGGTGAGACGCCTCTGCGCTCATGATCTCTGGTGAGACGCCTCTGCGCTCATGATCTCTGGTGAGACGCCTCTGCGCTCATGATCTCTGGTGAGACGCCTCTGCGCTCATGATCTCTGGTGAGACGCCTCTGCGCTCATGATCTCTGGTGAGACGCCTCTGCGCTCATGATCTCTGGTGAGACGCCTCTGCGCTCATGATCTCTGGTGAGACGCCTCTGCGCTCATGATCTCTGGTGAGACGCCTCTGCGCTCATGATCTCTGGTGAGACGCCTCTGCGCTCATGATCTCTGGTGAGACGCCTCTGCGCTCATGATCTCTGGTGAGACGCCTCTGCGCTCATGATCTCTGGTGAGACGCCTCTGCGCTCATGATCTCTGGTGAGACGCCTCTGCGCTCATGATCTCTGGTGAGACGCCTCTGCGCTCATGATCTCTGGTGAGACGCCTCTGCGCTCATGATCTCTGGTGAGACGCCTCTGCGCTCATGATCTCTGGTGAGACGCAGCATGAGCGCAGATCGGTGAAACGACTCTAGAATCTCTGGAAGGGCGCCCATGCCTTGCCTTGGACGCCACAGCATCAGCAACACGTTGGGATGTGTTTCTAGTTAGCTCATACCGTCTTCCCTGCTCCCTCTCTACTTTACTCCTGTCTTCCCCCGCTCAGGGCATTCTACTGAAGGGCGGCCATGCCCTGGACGCCACAGCAGCGTGCGACACAGTGGCGTTTGACAAGACCGGCACGCTCACCACCGGCCAACTCGCCCTGCGCTTCATCCAACCTCTGCACTCCCACGCACCGCACACCACTCCCTCCCTCCTCACCCCCTCCTCCCCCGTCCCTCCCTCCGACTCCACACCTTCCTCTCCCTCCTCCTCCACCTCCTCTCCCTTCTCTTCCTCCTCCTCATCCGCCTCTTCCTCGTCCTCCTCTCCTAATTTCGTTGAAAGCGAGAAATTCTGGGAAGACTGTGCAATGGAGGGGACAGGGGGAGTGCGCAGGCACAGTCACGAGTGGGAGGAGACAGGAGTGGTGGTGGAGTGCAGCAGTGCAAGCTGTGAGGCAGAGGCGCTCGCAGTGGCTGCTGCACTCGAGCAAGCAGCCACGCACCCCATTGCCAGGTGCGTTCGGCTGGGCGTTGAATGGGTGAGTGTGGGAATGTTGAGTCGTGTCAAGGCTCGACAGGCGTGGTGGTGGAGTGCAGCAGTGCGAGCTGTGAGGCGGAGGTGCTGGCAGTGGCTGCTGCTCTCGAGCAAGCCGCCACGCACCCCATTGCCAGGTGCGTTGGGTGTGGGTGTAGGGGTTTTCAGTCGTGTCAAAACTCGACAGGCGCGGTGGTAGAAAGCTGATTTTTGAGACGTCTCAAAAATCAACTTTCTACACTAGGGGTTTTGAGTCGTGTCAAAACTCGACAGGCGTGGTGGTGGAGTGCCGCAGTGCGAGCAAGCCGTGTCAAGACTGGACAGGCACTGAGTTTGAGACGTCTCAAAACGCAAGACTGGACAGACAGGCACTGGGAGGGAGTCGCTGCTGCTCTCAAGCAAACAGCTATGCACCCCATAATGATATAAGGTGCATTAGCTGGTGCTGGGGCGAGGGCTTACCCCGCTCCCAGTATGAAGAAGTGTTTTGAGACGTCGCAAAACACTTCTTCATACATATCTGCTGCTCTCGAGCAAGCAGCTATGCACCCCATAATGATATAAGGTGCATCAAAAGGTGCATCAGCTGGTGCCGGGGCGAGGGCTTACCCCGCTCCCCTTTCGGACTCCCTGCTCTTTTTCCCCACTCTTCCCCACCCCCACCACCAACAGGGCGCTACAAGAGGATGCAGACAGCAGGCGAGCTACTCTGACCGGAGTGAGCGTGGGTCAGCTGCTGTGCCGGGGCGAGGACTCACATCCCAGCCGTTGCCAACACCCCCTTCCCTTCTCGTCCCCCTTCTTCCTTCCCCCCTTCACAGGGCGCTACAAGAGGATGCAGACAGCAGGCGAGCTACTCTGACTGGAGTGAGTGTGGATCAGTTGTAGTTGGTGCCGGGGCGAGGACTCACCCCCCTCTTTTCCCCCTCTTCCCCCCTCTACCTCGTTTCTCGTGCGTCCCCACTCTCTCCCAACAGGGCCCTACAGGAATATGCGGACACCAGAAGAGCTACTCTCACAGGAGTGAGCTACTCTCACAGCTGCAGCTGGTGCCGGGGCGAAAGCTCACTCACTCCCCTCTGTTTCTGCTCTTTTTCCCCTGTGTTCTCCCTGACAGGGCCTTACGGGAATACGCGGACAGCAGGAGAGCTACTCTCACGGGGGTGAGCGTCGATCAGCTGCAGCTGGTGCCGGGGCGAGGGCTCACAGCTACCATCTCTAGCTTGCCTGGCGAGGTGAAAATGGGTGCACTGCGGTGCAGTGTGGTGTGAAGGTTTTTTGTAAATTGTAGTGGGGTGCAGTGCGGTGTTGGTTGAGTGAAAGGGATGTGGATCAGCTGCAGCTGGTGCCCGGGCGAGGGCTCACAGCCACCATTTCCAGCATGCCTGGCGAGGTGCGTGATACGATACAGATGGATGTAGTGCGGTGCGCTGCGGTGCAGTGCGGTGTGAAGGTATGCTGTGACTTGTACTGCAGTGCGGTGCTGATTGAGTTAATGGTTGAGTTTATTCTACTTTTGATTTTATTCTACTTTCGCATTAATTCTACTCTTGCGTTTATTCTACTTTGATTTTGTTTTACTTTTTGCGATTATTGTACTCTTGCGTATATTCTACTTTTGCCTCCCTACACCGATTCATCACCCATCATCACCACTCTCCACCACCTCATGACTGTGGATACTCTTTCCTCCCTTCACTTTGCTCCCCCACCCTCCACCTTTCTTGGCCAATCATAGAGCGACAGGTGGGGCCCGCACGAGGCTCGCATTGGCTCCCTGGATTTCATTGCTGAGGTGGCAGAGGATCGTTGGGCGAGCAGAGCAGCAGCAGGAACAGTACAGGGTGGTGATGGGTTTGACAGAGATAAGGCAGCACGAGCATCAGGAGCAGCAGCAGCAGACACACCATCAGTATCCCAGTCAAACCCACCACCACCCCCAACTCTCCCGCCAAGCGACCTAATCCGAGCAGCTTTGGCAGTGGGGCAAAAGGTAACCCTCTTTCACTTCGAAGATCAGCTTCGGCCCGGAGCTAAGGAAGTGGTTCGGCAGCTGCAGCAGCAGGGGGGGCTGAGAGTCCAAATGCTCACTGGGGACCATGCAGCTTCGGCACACAGGGTAGCAGCAGCGGTGGGGATAGAGGGAGGGGAAGTTGAGGCGGGGTTGAGACCGGAAGATAAGCTGAGGGCGGTTGAGGAGATGACTGGGAGGATGGGGAGGGAGGGGAGGGGAGGCGTGCTGATGGTGGGGGATGGGATCAACGACGCGCCTGCTCTGGCTGCTGCCACGGTAAGTGTTTTGTCAAACTCGTGCTGCCCACTCCACTGTACGCCAGCTATATTGAAATCACTTCTGAGAATTCTCAAAAGTGGTTTCAATATCTCTGGCTGCTGTGCTGCCACGGTAAGTGTTTTGTCAAACTCGTGCAGCCCACTGTACGACCCACTGTAGATGGGTCTTTTGGGGCTCTTGCACAGAGCATTCACAGAGGGTTCAGAACTATACTGTGAACGCTCTGCCATCCATGCGCCTCTTGTATATTTCGTTCACATAACTTATGCTGTAGGGTTCTCCTTTTGCTATCTTCAAGCCTCATCTGTGCTCCCTTCTCTGCTCCCTTCTCTGCTCCCTTCTCTGCTCCCTTCTCTACTCCCTTCCTGCTGCTCAAATTTATCTCACACCTGCCTGGAAACTGATGTGCTACAATTGAGTTCGTGTCACCCTTTCTCAATCCACATTTTTGTCACAATCTTTTCTGTCACACACGGTCGGTTGGGGTGGTGCTGGCAGCGCGAGCGAGAGCATCAGCAGTGGCAGCAGCAGACGTGCTTCTGACAAAAGGACCCTCTGTGAATGCTCTACATTCATTTTTGTCACGCATGGCAGGTTGGGGTGGTGCTGGCAGAGCGAGCGAGTGCAACAGCAGTGGCAGCAGCAGACGTGCTTCTATTGAAGGACAATATCTCAGAGCTCCCGTTCCTAGTAGCCAAGGCTCGGCAAACCACCCTCATTGTAAGAACAGCATTTTTCCTCAGGAACACACACACACAGACTTAGATGATTAACATTTCTCTATTGAACACCATGCTCATGTGAGGTACCGGTATTGAGCCTATGGGACTGAAGTGGCATATGAGTTTACTCAAAGACACGAAGTTGCTGAGTGTGCTCGTCCCTGCCCTTTCCTCCAACCCCATCCTTGTGTTTGCCCTTGCCTTTGCCCTTGCGCACACCAGGTGAAGCAGAGCGTGGCTCTTGCACTGACTTACATTCTGCTCGCACTCCTCCCCGCCATTCCTTCCCTCCCTCTGTTTCCCTTTGCCTGTGCTCCTCCCGTCCCTTTCCTCCAACCCCATCCTTGCCCTCCTCCACACCAGGTGAAGCAGAGCGTGGCTCTCGCACTCACATGCATTCTGCTCGCACTCCTCCCCGCCATTCCTTCCCTCCCTCTGTTTCCCTTTGCCTGTGCTCCTCCCGTCCCTTTCCTCCAACCCCATCCTTGCCCTCCTCCACACCAGGTGAAGCAGAGCGTGGCTCTCGCACTCACATGCATTCTGCTCGCACTCCTCCCCGCCCTTCTGGGGCACATGCCTCTCTGGCTCACGGTGTGTGCAGTTGGGTGGGCTGGGGTGGATTGCGGTGGATATGGGTGGGTTCGGGTGGGGTACGATTCGATTCTAAACACTTTTTGGATGCATACCTTCCTGGCTCGTGGGGCAGGGTGTGTTCTAAATACAACTCGAAACACTTCTCAGCACTTGTGTTCCACAGGGTGATATGCTTCGTGTTTTGAATCAACTCAATCAGCACGCTTAACCCGGCACCTCTTCGCCGCCCCGGCCTCACATCTCCCCTGCTCCCCTCTCCTTGTTCTGGTTACACCTCAGGTGTTGCTTCATGAGGGTGGTACCCTTTCAATTTGCCTCAACTCAATCAGAGCACTCACCCCGGCGCCTCTTCACCACCCCGACCTCACATCTCCCCTGCTCCCCTCTCCTTCCCACTTGTTCTCGTTACAAATGCTACCTCAGGTGTTGCTTCACGAAGGTGGTACGCTTCTAGTTTGCCTCAACTCTATTAGAGCGTTCAACCCGGCGCCTCTTCGCCGCCCCGGCCTCACATCGCACTTGCTGCAGCGAGCCCAATTGCTGCTGCAGAGGCTGGTGGGTCAGCAGGATGCTAGTACCATCGGTAATGGAGCAGCTGCTAAGGGGGGTGTTCCCACAGCAGGAACGCCTTAATTATGCTACCGTATGAGGTGACTTCAAACAAGTTACAGCATCCTTGCTCAGAGGAAAATTCTGGTGCAGATGTTATTCCTTAATGGTAAAATTGGTGCTCTCTGAATTCTGCTTGCAACACCGCGTAATGACATTTATATCTTTGGCACACCCAAAGCCACTGTTTCATGTTCCTAAGTGTGGCACTTGATTATTCATACTTTCCCATCCCAGCCATGAAAACGAAAATGCAAATTAGATCCTGCCTGTCATCAGTACTGTACCACAATCACATTCCAATCCAAGATAGCACACAGCATATATCAGCAAGGCCAAAACCTTTATTAACTTACCAAATTTTCACATTCAAGCTGCTTGTATCACCAACTACAACTACAAAAAGGCAGAAGCCACTGCCATGCGCTGTTGCGTGGCGAATCTAAAATGCCGGATTCAAAAACCGAGGTGAAAAATTCCACCAAAAATAATCAACTGTTCTGGCCCTTAAGGTTAACATAACAAAAATTAGACAGTGTAGGATTGCTGGATGGTATCCACGTCGATGTTCTTGAGTTTCACAATGTTGTCCACATGACCCTTGAGCGTCAAACCCTCCCGCAGCCTGCAACACAAGTTAACACCACGAGAAGACATAGCCAGTAAATTAGGACCAGTAACTTATGAGAAAATGAAGGCCACCTTCTTCCCAACCTGTCTCTTCAATGGAGATAAATGGTAAGGATTTTTGGCAAGGCTTCTTACCTGGCGATTTCTGCACGACGGCGAGCAGCCTCAGCTGCATCAGCGCCACCAGCAGTGCCAAGCACAGCCAGGACCGTGGGAGCCTCGTCAGCAGCAACGGTCTGGAGCCCAGTGAGGGTTCGCTGTGCCGTGGCCCACCGTGCCTGCCTCTCCTCGATACCAAAGTTGGCCTTCTTGGTGAACGTGACCCTGTTCTCTGTAAGCAGATCCCAGGCCTTGCCAGAGAGCATGTAGGAGACAGCAAATTTGATGAAGTCCAGAGGGATGTATGTCACCAGGCTGTACAAGGGGGAGCCACATGATAGGAACACAGGGTACAGGAGGTTTCAGATGAAGAGCAATCTATGAGGGTACATGAGGTTCCAGAGCTTTGTACAGACATAAGCACACAGCAATGGAGGTCAGAAAAGGTTCAACTGCCGGAAAAGGTTAACTGCAGGGAAGGGACTTGGTGCGCATTGGATGTGTGTTGGATGGTGCACAGAACACACACCTGTAGAGCCAGACGATACCGGCCCATCCCCAGCCGCATCCCATGATGTAAGTGAAGCCCCAGTTGGCATACACTGCAAGGAAGGTGGCAATCTGCATGTACACATCCAACATCCCCCGCATCATACAAATGCCACACGTTTCATCATCATCCGCACCAACCGAATCAGCACCACCATCATCATCACCCAGCACCACACATGCAACAAATGTGAAAAAAAAAGAGAGTTGAATGCTCTCTTTGCCTTTTTCTTTCACCTGCTTCTCCTTTCTTCATTTTCACCTCACATCTCCTTACTTCCACTTTAATCTCGACTTTCTTTGCGCAAATCAAGCAGACTTGTAATCTTCTCACCCCCTTGTCCGTCCCCTTACATCTCTTTTCATGCACAAGTCCAACCAACATCAAGAGAACCAAACCACGTACCAGCTGAGCGACAACGAAGGCCACCATGAGCAGAAGGCCAGGGCGTTCGAGGAAGGAGAAGCTCTGGGAGCGAGTGACGAAGATGAGCGCCTGGGAGATGATGGAGACTTGCAGGTAGAGCGCAGACATGAGCTTCATCTGTGACTCAGTGAGTTCCCCGTTGGGATCAGCATTGGGGGGTTTCTGAAGAGACTCCACACCAAAGGTTCGCTGCATGGTATCAAGGGTAGGATAAAACAGTAGAGAACTAGTCAGGAATACAGGGGAGCGGGTGTGGGGGGGGAAGTAGCAGGTGTTGATCCGAAGGACAAAGGGTTGATGGAGGCATGACAAAAGGGCATGAAAAATGGCAGGTGGGTGAATGGGCATGGAGTGGGAGGGAAAGGGGGGGGAGGGGGCGGGGGAGGGAGGGGGTGGGTGGGGAAGGGACGGGAAGGTGAGAGCAAGAGAGACTGAGAATGGTGTACATACCAGCTTGCTCTCTTACCTCAAAGAAGTTTGTTTCGTAGGCAGCCCAGAAGAAGACAACACTCATAATTCCTAGGTAGGACCCAAACGCCACGCCCTGGCAAAAGATTTCCGAGAGCTTCCAGCTGTCCGGGGTTGGCGACGGAAGGACCCTATCCTTGGAGATGGTCATGATGGTGCCTGGCAGAACAGGTGGTTGCATCAGGGGGAGGAGCCAGAAGGAGGGATGAGGGAGTAGTGGTGGAAGGAGGCGGGGAGTTGGAGAGTGTGGGGAAGGGAGTGGGGGGTAGGGAGGAGGGAAAATGGAGGTGAATACAGAATACGAGTGAGAATGGGAGAAAATGGAACAAGAACAGGAATGAGCTCCTTAGAAAAAAGGTGGGGTGAGGAAGGGGGGGGGGGAAGGAGGGGGGGATACAAAGCATTGAGCAATGAGTTTTCACTGAATAAAGGGGAGCATACCGTCATTGAGGATGGCGATGATAAGAACCATGAAGGGGGCGAAGTCGAACTTCCAGATGAGAGCGATGAGCATGAAGCCAAGCTGCAAGGACAGATAATTGTGAAAGATCAATTGAAGGAACAGAAAGCATGGAAAATGTTCAGTGGCAAACTTGGAACCACCCATACATACACACCCACACACCCCTCCCCCCCACACAAAACGTTGCTCAGTAGCCTGGTAAAGGGGAATTTGGCAAACGTACCACAATACGGATGGTGATGGAGATGGCATAGATCTGCAGACGCAAAAAATATCGCGGGAAGGCAACAGAATCAGGAAGTGAAGGGGGAGGACATGTAAGTGGAAGCCAGTCAATGACACAATAAGTTACTAACAACCTTCACAGAAACCTTCATCCAATCAGAACTTTTTTAAAAATGCCAACTCGTGCACTCACGGTGTAGTTCTTCATGCGCTGGAAGATGCAACGGCTGGTGAGAACCGCATGGATGATAACGCTGAGACCAGGCTCCGTGAGGACAATATCCGAAGCACTTCGAGCAGCATCTGTGGAGTCGTCCACGGCAATACCGATGTCTGCCTTCTTGAGAGCAGGGGCGTCGTTCACACCGTCACCAGTCATGCCCACGATGTGCTTCTTCTTTTGCAGCTGGTTCACAATCTCATACTTGTGCTCTGCAAAAAGAGCAGGAATGTTTAAAAACTTTCATTACAAAATCTGTGACTTTCATTTGTTTTGCCAATTCTATGCAGAAAATACTGAAACTGAAACGTGATAACCCACCTGGGAAGACGCCGGCAAACCCGTCGGCCTTCTCAATAAGGTCTGCCACGTCGACGCCAATCAAGGAGGCATCCTTTCCTTGGCCCAGAAGCGCAGAGGATGGGTACATGTTCGTTCCCATGCCTAGACGCCGGCCTGTCTCCTTGCCAATGGCGAGCTGATCACCTGCAAAATTAAGATGCCAGGCTAGTTAGCATGGATATTCCACTTGCATAGTCAACTCATGCATCAGAATCAACAGCAGCATACCAGAACATCATCAGAAACAAAGTCAAACACACTCTTCTACGTCTCAGTGTTAAGGGCATGCCCAGTAGGTTCTCGAGTTACTTATGACAATATGTTTTTCCAAACATCTCTAGTCCTTTGAGACGTACCAGTGATCATCTTCACGTTCACGCCAAGCTTCAGGGCCTCTTTGATGGTCTCTGCACTGTCATGGCGAGGAGGGTCGAACAATGGAAGGAGGCCTACCATCTCCCACGGACCACCAGCCGCGTCCTTGACGCCTTCAGGGACTTCCTGCAATGAACAATTGGCGAGACGGGGTAGAACGTCAATCAGCAACAGCACAAGTGCACCAATACCGCCGAAGGAAGATTACACGTAACACAAAAACTGCACTGTCATGTTGAAGTTCTAAAACAAATCAAAAAGAGGTATTTTATGCTCACCTGGCGAGCAACGCCGAGAGACCGAAGACCACGTTCAGCGAACCCAGCAATTGTGGCATGCACGCGAGCAGCGATCTCATTCTTGTTATAGGCGAGGTCGAGGATCTGCTCAGGCGCACCCTTCGACGCCCTGTACATTTTGCCATCAGGCGTCGTGTAGGTGATTTGCGTGCGCTTGTCCACAGGGTTGAAGGGGAAAAAGTGGACTTCCGTGATACCCTCCCGAGCCTGCACAAGCGCAATGCAGATATGGTTACAACATAAAACTTATTTCCCAGGGCGAATGGACTTGTTGAACGCGGAACAGCGATTTCAGACACTCACCTCCTTGGGGTCAGCAAGCATTCCCACAATGCAAGCGTCAATGGCGTCTTGGTTCTCTGTGCGAGCAGCACGCGCAGCCAGCAGGAGAACAAGGTCTTGATCCGCGTCCTTGGAATAGACCTGCACACAGCATCGGTATGACAAGGGTTTAAGCTTTAATACAACCCTAATGCATTACTGTGTGTAGATAACGATTTCCGGAAATCGCTACTTACCTCGATAATTGACTTGTCAACGGTCAGCTTGTTGAGCGTCAGTGTACCAGTCTTGTCACTGCACAGAATGTCCATGCCAGCCATCTCCTCAATAGCGGTCATACGCTTCGTAATGGCTCCCTGCAATGCGAACACAGGAGCTTTAGAACGCGTTTAAAACCCCTCGCGAAGCTATTCGTTGCAACTGATCAGGGTCGTCACCTGTTGCGAGAGCTTGTGCGAGCCAATCGCCATCGTCACCGAAAGCACCGTGGGCATGGCGATTGGAATGCCACCAATGAGCAACACGAGCAAGTTGTCAATGCCATCGCGATAGCTACGCTTCTGGATCGGCCACATGACGATGATTTCGATCACGATTCCAACGGCGATGGCTCCGATGCAGAAGTTTCCAATGGCACGAAGCACC